ACATGTGCCACTGCAGTCTCTGGACTTGCCACTGAATAGTGCTCCCTTGTGGAGTATCTTTAACCTGTGAACCGTGAGCGAGTTACAAGCCAGTTCCATGATGTGCTTTACACCTAAAAAGTGAAACCTGATTATAATAGTCAGGAGATGCTTTGCTTAAAATATATTTTTTACAATATTTAATGCTTATTTTACACTGTATGGGTTTGTACTGTGGACCTCTTTCAGCCTCTTTCAGAGGCAGCCCTGCTTTTAATCCAAGTGATCTCCCATCAAGTTTTAACTCCTTTTAACACTATTATGGAAAAATGTTGAAATATGTATTATGTACACTACATGCAATGTACTTTGATGAAATATGATAAAATAAGCAGCCACACTGTGTAGTCCCCACAGGCACCAGGATGGGGAACTAGTGTACTATGCAGACCCAGTCGTGTACACAAGTCACTGGGACTACAAGAAACAAGAAAGAAGAGAAACAAAAAGAAGAGGGCAATAAAATCACAGCCAACAATAGCAAATTCTCACAGCATAAATGACAACCTTACAAACAGAAAAGAGTGGAATAGTCAATAAAGAAAAATGTAAACAGATAAAGGCAACAAGAGAATAAAAATACTGACTGTCCTGGTCCCTTTAAAAAAATCAACAGCACAGTTATTACCAGTCATATAAAAAGCAACATACAGCTAACTCTAAGCAGAAATCAAACAAAGTGAATGAATGTACTTCCATGATGTGATTCAATTCACAGATTATGGTAGCAGATCCACACCCTCCATTTCCTCTGGACCAATTTACCTCTTGACCAGGTCATACCTGCGAGATGACCACTGAGGTACCTGTTTCCTATGGGTCTAGAACCTAAAATTCTAGATGAGTACATACTCCCCAGGCAGCAGGGGGGTCATCGTGGGTAATCCAGTTGTACCAGGCTTGATCCTAGGCCTGTCTCTGCTGGGTATGGGCCATGACTTGTCTATAGGCTGACATCAGTGTGATGCTGCAGCACCCATCCTTCTAAGGTGCCTTGCTGCTGGGGTGGCCTAATGTCAGTAAAAAGGTCCACTGGGAGCCTTGCATGCCTGCCAAACACAATAAAATTAGGAGTCAATCCAGGACTACAATGCACAGTACTACTACATACTTGTGCCAGCGTGGGGAGCACAACGAAGACAGTAAGGTTTGTATGAACCATTCCACTGCCCTGTGGGTGGTATGGGAATGTTCCAGCTCTTGACACATCCATACAGGTTACACAGTTGCTGCATGATAGCTCGAATGCCTGTCCTCTGTCAGTCAGAATCTCCTTGGGGCAAGCAAAAGTCTGAATAAAATAACTCAACAGGGATCTTGCCCTAGTATGGGTAGACTGTTCTGAAGTTGGCACTGTAACTGCATAATGAGAGAACATGTCAGTTATAACTAAAATATTTGGGTAGGTGTCAGCTGTCTGCTCAAGGGACAGATAATCAAATCCAACCGCCTTAAATGGGTACGTGAAATGAATTGACTGCAGTGTCAATTACCAGCTCTTACCTTCAGTTCAGCCTTGTTTACTTGCACACTCCACACAGTCCATGACCCAGGAGCCACAGTCCTCATTCATTCTTGGCCAGAAGAATCTGCACATCAGTATACTCTCCTACTTGCATGACCTGCATTCCAATGGTAGTCTCTGGGCTTGATTGTTGGGTACTGCAATCTAGTGTGCTTTTAACTCTGTGTCTGGATCTTGCATGTGCCGCATCAAAACGCCCCCTGGACGTTTGGGTTAAGCTGTTGCCTCCACTTGCCGGATATCAGGATCTGCGTGTTGCACCTACTTCCAGTGGTCAAGAGGAATCTCTTCTGTCTTGCAGAGACCAGTGCTTGCCTCAGATGGTGGCTGATCAACCAACATCCTCCCCAGACTGCTCAGCAGATCCACCTCGATACCCCTCAGAAGCCGTGAGATGGCATTGGTTTTTCTATTACACAGGCCTGCACGACACTTTATTGTACAGTGGTAATTGGCAAAATGCAAAATTGCCAACACATTGGTGGTCTCAAAGTTTGCAGAGGGGTTGTTACCAGTGAAAATTGTAATCCCTGCACCTCACAAATGATCTTTGAACTTCTCTGTGCCCACTTGAACCCCAGCAACTCCAACTTAAATAAGATATAATTTTTATTGTTATGGTCAGTAAGATGAAGGCTGCAGCTCAAATAGGCAATCCCAGGTCATCCACGCTGCCATCAATGCATATCAAGAAAGGAAGTCGACATAGCTAATAATTGGGATGTTGGCAAGGTCCTCTTTAGCCACAAGGTAATTTGACATACAATGTGGGGCCTGAAAAAGGCCTACTGGTGTGTTTCTGTCCATCAGACAGATTAAATTTTGGCCATGTCAAGCCCTGGAGTAGTCAATGCAGGGGTGTGGCAATCTTGGAGAACCTAGTGAAAAACTGTTGATAATAACCTGTAAAGCCAAGGAAGGCATGAACTTGGCTCAGCGTCTCTGAACGCTCTCTCCAAGCATCTCCTTTTCTGGCTCATTTGCCGCTCCATCTTGACTGACCACATGACCACTCAGGTAATGCACCTTCTTCTGGAACATGGGGCATTTCTGAGGCTGTAGCCTCAGCCTGTGTGCTTGGACTTGCTGGAACAACTGCTCCAGGTGCTACAGATGACTGTAAAAGAGGGTAGGTAAACAATGATATTGTCAAGATATAGTGATAATAACTAATTTTCCTGATTCCCTAGACACATCTGCATCAGTTGCTGGATTTGAACAGTGGCATTGCAGGGGGTATCCCCTCAAACTGATACAAGCTCAACAAGGTGACAAATGCAGTCTTTTCTGATCTTGAGAATCCACCTCTACTTGCCAGTACCCAGATGCTAGGTCCAAGATAGAGTACCACTCTGCTTACTTTAAGGACTAATGTTAAGCATTCTTATCTATTAAGGTGACAAATACCTGCCAATCAGCGTTGTGGGAAAGCATGATAGGGAAAAGATTAGTTTTACAAAGATGAATAGCAAGCCTATCTTGGCTCTTCCACTCCATTGGTCTAGGCACTCACAACTTTTTTTTCTGCATCATCCAGGTCTTTCACTAGTGCTCAGCAATCTGCCTGGGAACTGCTTGGTGGAATCCCAACCTCTGTACCACTCACTGTTGGCACTCTAACTTTGCCACATCCTGGAAGTCCAGGGCAGTTCTACAGGCAGGGTGTGCTGGCCAGCTGTAAAAGCTTTCTCCTATGTAGATCTTGATGCTGGTCCTGGCCCATTGCAAATTGTACCTGTACCTGTGAAATAAAGGACAGAAATAATAAAGCCCTTGTACCCTTGAAGCCCACTTGTGTTCCTAATGACCCCACTCATTGTTATATTTCTGAAAAACTATTCATTTTAATAATTGATAAGTTTATCAGCAACATAAATCCTTTTTTTATATTATTTTTTTTTCCATTTTTACCCGGTTTTCTCCCCAATTTAGTCGTATCCAATTCCATCCGCTAGTTAGGACTCCCCCAATCACACATGATGCTATCAACGCTAGGAGGGTGAAGGCTAACACAGGCTTCCTTCCTTCCTGTGAAGCGCCACCGCTTTTTGTTCGAGCTTCCGCTCACGCAACGTCATTGGACAGCTGAACGCGCTCAGAGGAAAGCCCCAACCGCCAGATCTGTTACGTCAGCTGACAGATACCTGCGCTGACTAGCATCGCGCTGAGTGAGTGATAGGGGGAGAAAGGCAGCCATCCCACCACCCAGAGAGAGCGAGGCCAATTGTGCTCTCCCGGACTCCCGGCTACGGATGGCTGTCGCATCAACAGGGATCGAACTCGCGATCTCCTGATGATGGATAAGCCAACGCTTAGACGGTTGCGCCACTCGGGGGCCGTATAGATCCTTTTTTAAGACAGACCGATAACAAACATTTGAACTGCCAATCAACTGCCAACAGTGATGAACAAAGTGAATGAAAAATTACCACAGCAAAAAAAAAGTGCCTCATCAAGTTGTATCTACTGTAATGGAATATGTTACTGAATACATTTAGGACAGTGTATTCAGTGTTCAGCCATCACTACTGTTGTAGTAGTATTCTGCCCAACTGTATCTATCTATGCATAGGGAAACAATGCACTCTCACCTGAAGCTCCGAACTGTAACAGCCACAAGTGAGGAAAGCGACAGTGCACCCAAAACAGAAGAGATAATGACCACAGCCAAGAGATAATCTATAAAGAGAGAAAGCGTTTATATATAGATTTGAGATATCTTTTCAGAAAGAAATTGTTATAGGCATAAGGCAGCAGCAACACTCATATTGTATAACCTTTAGGCCTATTTGGGACTTATCTTTGGACAAGTTATTGTTTAAGCCAGTCAGCTTACAGGTAACAGATTCTGCCAATAATATTCAAGTACATGTTTTTACTGAAGAGTCCCTGTAAAACTGCAAAATAAATGGTGTTTAAGGTATACAAGGAGCTCCTATAAGAAGCAGTTAACCCAGTTTAGGAAACACAATATCACTGCAAGCTTGATGTTACATTGGAATCATTTTAATATCTTTAATTGCAGATTTTATGCCTTAGTGACATTGATGAAATAAAAAAAAAAACCCTTCATCAACAAGAGTTTTGGTCAGTAATTTTGATGACGAGACTGAATGTCCGCTAACTAATTAGCTGTATCGATGTCTATTCCCTGCACTGTTTATGATAATCAATTACAACCGAGTTAGTATCAGTATTCAAGCATTCTTTTCAGAGCAGCAAAGGATCACACTGAAAGGACTGGCTTTATTTTGCTTTCTTGGTGATTTTTGTTTTCTGTAAATTAGCTCTTCTTTTCCTTATTTTACTGGTAAGATAAGTTCTAAGACTTATAAATAATGATGCTTATTGGCAGCATTTTCGCATATACCAATGAAGAGGTGCGACTTTGTCTAGTCTCTTTGGACTTGACGAATCCATTACTTTAGGTCTTGGTTCATGGTATCACATTTTTCCCATTTTTACTTTTAAAGTACTTAGGACCTGTAGCATTAGGGCCTGGCACTGTGCTTGTGTCAGGAGACCTCGTGCTCATGTCAGGCAGGGTCATGCTAGGAGAACTTATGCTCGTGTCAGAAGGGCTTGTGCTCGTCTCAGGATACGTTGTGATAGAAGAGCTTGTGCTCATGTTAGAAGGGCTTGTGCTTGTGTCAAGAATGGTCATGCTAGGAGAGCTTGTGCTCGTTTCAAGAGGGCTCATGCTTGTGTCAAGAGGAGTTGTGCCTGTGTCAAGAGGGGTCGTGTTAGGAGAGCTTGTGCTTGTGTCAAGAAGGCTTGTGCTTGTGTCAGGAGATCTTGTGCTTGGAGAGCTCCTGTCAGGTGAGCTTGTGCTTGTGTCAGGAGGGCTCGTGCTTGTGGCAGGAGGGCCCTCTTTTGAGGCTCCACTGCTACCTGGAGAGCTACCAACACCACAAAAAAGGAAACATTATTTCACTTACAAAACATCCATGTTTTGCAGATAAAACAATGCAGGGCAGCATTAATGCCCAATAACTGGTACAGGCTCTATCAGGATACTGCAAAATTAAAAATAAATGGTTTCACATAGCACAGTAGGCCTGGGTGATATCTAAAAATAATGAGTACTTTATTTTTTTATGTTAAAAATCACAATTATTGATTGTCACCCCACCCGTTCTCTCTACCCCCGCAAAGACACACACACACACACACACACACACACACACACACACACACTATCTGCTGCAGCTTAGACCTGCTTTTTATTCTATTTCAGGAGGGCTTGTGCTCATGTTAGAAGGACTTGTGAGCCTGTGTTTGTGTTCATGTCATGGGGAGTCATGATAGCAGAGCTTGTGCTTGTGTAAGGAGGGGTCATGCTAGGAGAGCTCATGCTTGTGTTAGGAGCTCAAGCCCTTGAGAAGAGGGCTTGTGCTCATATCAGGAACTAAAACTAGTGGTCTTATTTGGACTCGGTCTTGTCTCAGTCTCGGGGTAAAGTGGATTAGTAAATTGTTGTCGAGGCTAGTCGAGTGCAATGCCTCCATTTGAGGTAATTTGAAACTGAGTTATTATTGAAAACCAACAAAATCAGAATAAATAAAAATAACAGCTCTTTCTCTGCGTCAGGGGTTCCCAACCCTTCTTTTTCTGACTCACCTAACGAGAAAGCTGATTTGTTAGCTGCCGAGTGCTGGAAGTCAGGCAGAGGAGAGAAAAGCTCTGGCTCAAGTCGACAGGTTTAGATACATATTTGTTATTTTTACTTTCACGTTTTCAGTTCTCATGCACGTGAAGCTCAGCGCATCATATTCACTGCTGTATTTCCTTTGCATCGGTTCTGCTTGCCCTGAAAATATAAATATAACTAGCTTACATTTTGCCAGAACAAGTAATTAGCTTGATATAAATATAATGTTTTATTGATGCAAATAATCAACAATATTTGTCACATTTAAAAGCAAGTTTGGTTAAATGTTTGTATGGTAATTCATTTTTGCATTTAAAAATTTGCAGTACCGCCATGGTCCACAGGGGGACTGTAGCCCACAGGTTGAAAACCATTGTTGTATGTGTTTAAATAAAATCCGTAGTTTAAGGATCTAACTGATCCTTTTCAGGATGGCCTCACTGAGTATTATTTGATTGTTGATGTTCATTGGTTCCAAATGAATATAATGGATGTAGTTTATGTTCATTTGACTTTAGGTGGTGATACTGAATAAGTTTTAGAGAAGAAAGGAACAGAGAACAACCTCACAACAGCTTCCATTTACAATGCACAGTTTGACTATGACCGAGAACCAGAGCAATGTCCACATGCTTTACGTATAAAAAAATTAGGTGTTTTCCATCGTAATAATTGAGACATCCTGAAATTCAGGATTAGATGACTGTGGAAAACTATGAAACATTACATCATTTTACAACTCATCTGAATCAGGACACTTCCTCAGATCCTAAAGAAGGGAAAATTTGGCAGAACATTTACCATAGCCTGACGGCTTATTAAAGCCCTATGATAATCCTTTATTTTAACAGTAAAAGTGAATAAAACATTTTGGGTCCTGTCAATCCTTTTTCATGACAAGGTAATTATTGCCTCTGAAGCATTATCTTGGGTTACTTATCAATCATTGATGCTATCCGATTACTTCACTCTATCGCCTAGGCCTAATGCACAATATCTAGAGGTACACTGTTTATTGGAAAACTAGGGCTTGGAAATGCTGTAATAAAGCAGCTTTCTCTAAAAGAAAAATGTATATATTTATATATTTTTGTATATTAAATATGTGCCCTACCTCAACAGATCTTAAACTTTCACATCATTGGTCAAGTTTGGACATTCATCATCATTATCTAAGCCGCTTGTCCTCCTGGGTTGTGTTAAATGCATTTTGCAGGCAGTGTGCATAGCTGCCTTCAAGTCCATTTTTTATCAAAGCTAAAATTTTGACTTGTCAAATAATAACATCTGAGTAGCCCAGGTTCTCCAGAAATAACACGTATCTCATGTAAATGCAATTTATAACTGTAAATTATAAATCATACGGCATACTGCAATTGACAGCACCTGTGATGTACTTTATTGGTTTGTATTCGTTTGGGCTTAAAGGCAAGTGCTTGTTTTAAATGGGAATGGAAATACAGCATGATCGTTCTATTAACTAGTTATCGTCACTAGATTTGCAAGTTTTGCCTGTACCTAATTAGCGTGTGCGCGCGTACGTCAATACTACAGAAACCAATGTGGATATGTGAGAAAATGCAACTACAGTCTGACCATACAAATCAGATGTGGTCACTTGTAAACTTGAAAACAGAACAGTCTAAAAGGTCAGATTGATAAATCAATGTGATGATCAGTTATTAACCCCTTAAATCCCAGGATTATTACATACTAAGGCTTATTATTCAGCAGTGGTAGACGAAGTACACAAATCATGTACTTGAGCTAAAGTAGAGATACCCAAGGTAAAATATTACTCCAGTAAAAGTAGAGGTCCTCCCTTTAGACCTCTACTTGAGTAAAAAAAGTACAAACGTATTTGCTTTCAAATGTACTTAAGTATCGAAAGTAAAAGTACTAAAACGTGAATTATGACTTTAATGTCCTATTACCATTTTTGTAACAAGACTCTTGCTTCATTAACTCATTTTAGTTGAAAATACTCTAGTGTCACTCTTGGTAAACCAAATCTTTTAATAGAATGTCATTAATTAGTCTGACGCTGCATGTCTATTAAAATTATCATAAGCACAAAACACTGAAGGCAAACAATTTCCATTAGGTAGAACCAAGTGGCTGTGAAAACAATTTTTGCAAACAAGCAAAGTTTCAGTTTAAGACTTATTTGCAACTTAGTTACAAGTTTAATAAAAACTTGCTTTAAACACAGGTTCACAAATGTGTTTTCCTTTATTATATTCCATCTGTCAGTTCATAAACATGAACTAGCAAAAACAAATTTACTATAAAATGAAACAGTGTTTGTATAAATTCAGAAAAAAGACACACGCCAGTCACAAGTGCATATGTGTACATATTTCTATATTGTGGTCTATTTACACAAAGTTAGGTTAGTTCAATCATTTATGTAGGAATAGGCACTCCCAAAATTTTACACTGCTACACTGACGATGAACCGTACGACAGCGTTTTATAGGGCCACTGTTAATAAAAATAAAAACAGTAGACTTCGAGAATAAAATCATAATATTTCGAGAAAAAGTCGTAGAATTGCGACATCAAAGTGGCATTAATACCAGGAAAGGTCGCAATATTGTGGCCAAAGGCTTTGCAAAGGGAAGGCAGCACCTCCTCGTGTTAAATGAGGGGCGTTGAGAAGTTTGTGGAGTTATACTTTCATATCGATTATCGGCTGACCTGTGGCAGCATCGGCTAAGACTCGTCATCGGCCAGCTTGAATTGGGCCGAGTGTGGGTGACGCTCAGCAACCAAAGAGCTTGCAAAGGGGGCTCGGGCCGATTCCCGTTTGTACTGACGCGGCCCAGGTGTTCATTCATAGGCTCGGGCCAGTTGCGGGTTACACTCGGGAGTTGGCAAAAGGAGCTCGGGCCGATTCCCATATGTGATGATACGGCCCAATTGTGTATTTATAAACTCAAAAAAATGACTCTTTGAATTTGCTTAATTTTTTTCGTCAAAGCGTTGCACGCAATTAAACTATCTATTCAGAGATATAATTTGAGTTACACTTTACTCATTACCTATAAGCAATATCAACTTAACCATATTTTGCAGGATTTACTTCAAAAACTTCAGTAACTTTAACTAAAATGAATCATGTTCTTTCTACTTAAGCAAATTATCTAGATTGTTATAAACTTTAAAAAGTTAACTTTTTTTTAGTTAAAACAACTCAAATTTCATGCCTTTCTGATGACATTTACTCATTGCTTGTAAATTTTGTCAGCTTAAATATATTTTTGTAAAATTTAATTAATAAAAGTGTAATTTTAACTAAATATAATCATGTTAATGCTATTTCATTAAATTATGTCTTTTTAGTAAAACTACTAAATTCTGATGTATTTCCAAATAGTTACTCATTGTTTATTATGTACAACAGCTTAATTATATCACAGAACATTTATTAATGTACAATTTTAAATGTTACTTTTCACCAATTAAACTTCACTTACACTTATTAAATGTTCCATCTATCTAAACACATGGTCAAGACAATGACTATCATGACAATAAAAAAATTACAGTGACTTTAATGTACATCAAATGCACATGCATATTAGGATCAACTAAAATACACATTTGCTTTACCACTATAGAAAAACACTGAATATTAAGTAATAAAACAAGACTGTAGACAAAAAGCAGAGTAGTAAAAAAAAGACTAAATACTTCTCTAAAAGTGCACAGGTATCAATACATTATTGCTTGTCTTGCAGGCAACACAAGCTAAAATGCAACTTTACATACAACAATAAGCTTCAAACAGAACACTGCAATTATAAACACATTCACCTAAATGTGTGCGCCTTTAATCACAATTAATTAAGTCTTAAGTAATGGCCCAGAATTTGTGAAACAATGAAGTAACATTCAGTAATTATGTAATGATAACACCAACCTTAAGTGCAACTTTACAACAGCAGACATTTAAAATAGAACAGCACAATAACACAGTATTAATGTTATATGACTTTATACAATATCCAATTGTCATCACTGATCAAAATAATGCCCCAGAACTTTGTATAGCTTTAGCAAAAAAAGACTCTAAAATTTAACTGCATGCTGTTTTAAGCCAAATTGTTCTTAAACATGACCAGGATCTTGACATGCTGTATAGAAAATCATTGAAATGTCATTGAATTTTAAGAGATGTTGACAAATACAGCCATTCTTGTTTCATGTGACTTAAACGTTGCTCAAAAGCCCATTGCTTTTCAATCAAAGCAGAAGCTAGTGTGAAAAGTTCCATATATTTCCAGAATGGACAGCCAACTTTGACTATCCCAAGATTTTGTTCTCCAAGCCAAGAATTTTAGGGGAGAGCTTTGCACCATCCTTTGGCCTGAGGAATGTACAAATTCATAGCAGCATTTCCGCCCATTGTGGTGAGCCATATTCAGTGCATAGATTACTCCAAGCATTACTGCAGTCTGGTGCAACTGATTTGATGTTTCCTACAATAACGTTTCCATCAGCGTCAACATCTTCATATTCTCCAAGAGCTCCACCCTCTTCTGATGACATAAATGCCCATTTCAGTGCTGTGCTGGTCTCTCAATATGTCTTCACCATGAATATCCTACTAATTAAATCTTGTTATTAATACTAAACTCCATTGTACTCTTGGTCTATAAAGAGTAAGTTCAGTTTATTTCTCATTTGAGATCTTCTAAATACTTCTAGGTACCTCAGACAGTTTTTTTAATATCAAATACTTATTTTATGATGAATCTAAATAAAATCAGCCCCCATCTCCACAAAACTCCATTCAATGGTAAAATACACATTACAAAATGGATATTTCTAGTTCACCTTTCTCACACTAGCACCTACAATCTATGGTTGGTCCTAACTTACTAACACACCAACGCTGCGTTTCGATTTGGATTTACTACACAGATTGAGAGGGGGCTGATTTTATTAAGCAAATGTTATAAGCAATTGATATAAGAACTGAGGTGCCTGGAAAACACACACAGTATTTAAAAGAGCACAAATATGAAATAAGATGAATTTACCTTAGTTAGAAATTAGAACTGAATTAGAATGATGGTGATGTGCTTAGGTCACATACTGACTTACCATGTACTCCTTGATAAGAAATCCATCATCATCATTCAGGTGCGGACAAAGAGCTTTTATGATGGCTTCTCTTTTTAGGTGGACATCCTTCGCACATATTGATTGCACTTGTTAGAATATACCTTCAACTGTTTAAAAAAAATGGTACATTAACTTGACAAGCATACAAGGAACAGATAAAAGACACATATGAACATCAAAATCCCAATCATCTTAGAGACTGAAAAATGATTACTAATTTGACCAATTAAACAAATAAATAAAAAGTAGCTTTACAAAACAAATAGCCTCATAGTTAAATATCAAATCTGGATCATAACAATGCACTTAGAACATGCTAGAGAATCCTTTAAAACATGGCACTCAACAACCTTGCTAAGCCTTAACCTATAAACAAAGAGGGCATTTAAACAAAATTAAATGAAAGACCATGTTAACATTTTATCTTAAACATAAGCTTTACTTTAATGTTTTATCGCTTTACCTTAATGTTTTATCTCACCATATGGAAAGACATAACAGTGCATTATTTTGGCTGAAATGTAATAGTCTTACAAAAATATATATTATTTTACTCATATTTAGCTATTTGTTTTAATCCTGTGAGCATTATTTTAGTTTGAAACCAACTATGATATTTAAGTCACATCAAGGTTATTTTAATCAATATGGCTATCAGGATTCCCTGTCTAGGGTTTGTGCATTATTGAGCATCATAATCGATGTATAATAATTACTTATACCACTTGGCACTTGAAGACCATAATGTTTAACATAAATGCAGTTTGACTAAACATAAGGTAAACCACATTTTGGTAACAATGACAGGGGAGTTACATGAGCAAAACATATGTGTGAGTGTGTGTGTGCACCATCTTACATACAAAATTATATTCTGATTATAATAATGACCAGTGACACTCTGCTGTTATACGGGCAAACATAAACCTCTTTTCCACTACAGGGCCGAACAGTTAGCATTAGCTTGCTAATTAACAAGATAACGGATATTCTATAATATTCTATTATGCCGAACTAAATCTCCACTGACAATTCTGATGGAGCAAAGTCGAGCGATTGGTGTTGAAGGAACAGAAAGCTGAAAAAAATCATCTTAAACCTGCTTCACGGTGCTTGTAGCCTACTAGCTAAGTTAGCCAGCTAGCTGCTAACACTAACGTTTGCTTAGCTAACTAACGCTAGCTAGCTGCGCTAACGGGTCCATGTTGGAACAACACATTGCAAACTGGGTTCATCGAACAGAGCATTAAGTGTTAAATAGACAAACGTTGAAATTAAACCAGTTAACTGATGTCTGTAACCTACTAGCTGCTAACGCTATGTTTGCTAAGCTAACGTTTGCTAATAGCGTTAGCAGGCTCCATATCCTAAACCCCAGGCTCGGTGGAGCTAGCTAGCCAGCTAACTAAGGCTGAAATTACACAGGTTTGTGGACAGCTAGTACCCAAATATCACATCCAACATCACAGGCGAAGCGACCACAGCCTCCTCAGTGGGAAAAGATTATTACAGGTCATGTCAAGGACACACAACTAGCTAATGCTAGCTAGGTCTGTTTACTTCGAATATGTGCTGAACTGAGCCCCTCACAAACTTGTGCTATGCTAGTCGTCCCTTAACTGTTTTCATCAAAGATATATCCAACGCTGCGCTGTGCGCGTCTACAACCATCTAAACAATATTTTACCATGTACTTGTACGATGACACAGCAGCTAAACGCACTCATCTGCAGTGAACTTTAGAAAATGGCGCCGTTACTTAGCTAGGTTAGCTAGGCTAGGTCAACAATAACGTCAGCTAACGGTTGTGTTCATGAGCAAACTTAGTGAGGACCTAAAGTGACTTCAACATAGACAGATACTTATGAAGCACACACATTAAAACACTGCGATCAGCTTTAGTAAGTTTAGTGATTATTTGACTGAGTAATGTTATGTGTTCTTTGAATATGCGTCGGTTTAAACTAAATTGGCTAGCTAGCTAAGTTAGCTAAGCTAGCGAATTTTAAGCCATGCTAAGTCCTCCCTTAACCTCATGTTTTTGCCAATATTTTTCTGTGTAAATGTCATTAACATGTTATATGTCCATAATGACAAACAATAGACAATATACAGTCTCCTAACTTGTGAATGTAAGATGACAGAATTTTCTCAGGTCAGTCAAACCTTCCCAGAGACGAGGTGTAGAAAATGGCTGCCGTCAGCTCGGGAAAAGTTGTGCATGTGCATGCGCAGTGTCTACCCCTTGACACAACATCATTATTTCTAATTCATTTTAAGCGTGTTTCATATGTTTAGTTCACTGGTTTTCAACTTTGCTTATTATTATTTAGTTGAAGCAAAAACACATTTAAATTGAGAAAAACATGCACAATTTTATTATGTAAAATTTACTAAGGGCCAAGTTCATTTTTTTCAGTGCAGGTTCGGTCCGAGTGCACGTTACACTCGGCGTCTGGAGAGTCAGCAAAAGGAGCTCGGGCCAATTCCCATACGTGTTCATCCGGCCCAAACATGCACTATAGGTTCGTGCCGATAATGGATAAATCTCAAATGGCTTCCTGGTGCCTGCATAGTGCACTATGTAGGTCTTGAAATAACGGCTCCTGAAACCAAACAGTGCATAAGATGTCTTACAAAGTGCCAGTTGGGATTCAGGCAGGTGTGCACAGTTCCCTACTGGACATATAGTGCACTATTTAGTTCAAGAAATCAAAATGTCTTAACTCATATAGTGCTCTATATAGGGAGAAAGGAGCCATTTGAGATT